GCTACCAGGCTTACCGGTAGATTCGGTTTTAACAGTGGTACTGAGACGCACCCGAGAGGACAACAAGCCCGTGGCTCAATAGTTAGGGGTGTCGGGCTCCTGAAAAACAGGTCATGGCTTCGAGCCTCCGGGGTTGGGTGTGACTGGCTGATGGCGACTACTGAGTCTTAAATGGCCATTCCAGTCTTCCTTGTCTTTGACAGTAATGTCTTTCAGACCCGGTTTTTCCGACTAAACTCCAGCGATTAGTTTTGATTTCGTAGCAGTTATCAACTAGCCATACCCGAACTCAGCTTTGAATTCCCACTAGTCGCTCGTAGAACATCTGTCAGCGGAACGCTCCTCTACTTCAGCTACTAACCTGTATATTGTTCGTGACTATCAGGAGTATTCCAAGTCACCTGGGATGATGTTCAGCAATCTATCCCGTTTACGGCACCAAAATGGATGCCTCCGCTCTGCCTTGCAGCCAGCGCTTTCGCACATGACCATATAGTCGGGTCGTATGTCCCCCGGACTGGTGTTAACATGTAGTTGACTTGTGGTAAGTGAGCACGAAACGGCCATTTCGGCCTCCCTTTTTATTGCACCGCAGTTTCATCGCCGATTGTCCTGGTTTTGCGAAAAGACGCTAGAAACATTTTCCTGGAATACATTTGAGTTACTCGGCTTTAAAATGATAGAAACAGTTTGAATCACCTTTTACGCCCTTCTATCACCAATTATCAGACCTATTATCCCGTTCACTTCATTTACTTGACTGAAACGTGTCACTTTTAAACGTTATAAGGCAAATCCTTGTAAACAGGTAGGAGAAGTTCAATGTTTCCAACTCCAAATTTGTTTAAAAAAGTCCCCATATTTTTACTATTTACGTTTGAACTACTGACTGACTACGACCAGCGTATTGGTCCATTAGCTTGTCCCCGAGTTTTCCTCATAGTTTGTTTTTTGAGCTGATCCGCGCAATATATGATTTGCATCTGGAAGGCGGCGGCCCGTAGAAGATGGAATTGCGTGACATTGGGCACGCTTACCCGTTATTTGAACCGTGAAACTCGGGTATTTCTGTAGGTAGCTTGATGAAACCTGACTGACAAGCCTCTAACAGCAGTGATGCCATTGCATTTTGACTGGGGATCTCCTTTTCAGGCTGATAATTTATTCGCTGACTTTGGCAACAACAGTGGTGTGGTTTGAAGAAGGCAAAGGCGATGAAAAATGTCCATCGAATTTACTGATATCACGTAACATTTTGTCACCTTTGCCTTGTGCTAATTTATTTCGGGAAGGCAGTTCTTCAATGCTGTGGTTGTCTACCTCTAAAACACGATCTCAGTCGTCACTTCTGCTTTTCGCTCGGGCTACCATACATCAACCAAAACAGTCTAATGTTGAGGTCTTATCGCTGTGGCTTAAGTTACCACGTAACACCCTTGCCGCTGCAATCTTTAGGCTCGTTTCCGTGTGGAAAGGGAAGAAGTGAGACGCCAGATGGGAGGGCTCGTGTATTCTGTACAGAGGTAAGGGCAGATAGTTTAAAGGAAGAAGAAGATGCGATATCTGGAACGGCAATTTTATTGTTCTGAGCTTTTGGCTTAACACGAGAAGCCATCGTCAGAGAAAATGAGAAAACAGCAAACGTTGGCTACGCGTAAATGGGGGTGGCACTTGTGATTGGTCCTTGTCCACGCCAAGTCCATGCTCACGCCGTCTTATCGTGTCTCCCCTGCGCGTGTCCCTGGAGTTATGGCGTGTGACCTTGACGTGGCAGCCTGC